CTGGTTGTAGATGGACTTCTAAATCAACTAAGTGAGGCCGGCTTCCACATCACTGGTTTTGCCGACGATGTGGCAGTTGTTGTGAAAGGCGGATTTCTGAGGGTGCTAACGGACCTGATGGCAACAGCCTTCAATATCATTTCGGACTGGTGCAGGGAAACTGGCCTATCGGTAAATCCAGCCAAAACAACAGTCCTGGTTTTCACCAGAAATTATAGACTGGAAAAGATCCAACCTCTGAAGCTAAATGGCTCGGAGATAAACTACACCAGCAGAGTGAAATATCTGGGTGTCCTCCTGGATAATAAACTCAGCTGGAAAGAACATATCTGTACACAGAGAAATAAAGTGTTTGCCTCTATGTGGGCGTGCAGAAGAGCTGTGGGCAGGACATGGGGACTCAATCCTAAAATGATGCTCTGGCTCTACCAAATGGTTCTACTTCCAAGACTGTTGTACGCTGCGGCCGTCTGGTGGCCGAGGGTGAGTAAGACGGAAACAGGGAACCTGTTGAAAAGCCTACAGGAAACCTTCCTGAGGCCTGCAAAAGGAGCCATGAAATCGACACCTACCGAGGCGGTAGAAATAGCACTCAGTATCCCACCCCTCGACCTTAGAGTTATGAGTTGTGCTACCACAACTGCATATAGACTAAGGTGTCAACAAGAATGGAAGATGACGGGCCAAGGCCATACAAGACTTAACCTAATCAATGATCGACCCTTCATAGGTAAGACGGATAGAATTCCTAGGAAGTATCAGATCAGGAAAACTTTCAGAACGAGTATACCACTCAGACAGGAGTGGTTAAACTCGGAACTTCAACCAGGACCAAGAGAAGACTACTGGTTTACAAACGGCTCTGGCTTCAATGAAAGTTTTGAGGCAGGCATCTACCGTCTGAAAGATGACTTTGGAGAGAGTTTTCCACTGGGCCACCATTCAACCGTCTTTCAAGCATAAATGCTGGGCATACTTAAGTGTGCAGAGTATCTGAATGCGAGAGACAAACAGGGTGAAAATATTCATCTGCAGTGACAGCCAGGTGGCGATTCACGCCCTGGAAAAACCCACTACAGAGTCACAGGTGGTGTGGGAATGCATGCAGGCATTGGACACACTGAGTAAAAACAATCAGGTTACCGTAACCTGGGTACCAGGCCACCATAGGATTCTGGGTAATGAAGTGGCAGATAAGCTGGCCAAGGAGGATACAGAAAGGGTGCCCGCACACGGCCTGCTTGGCATGCCCTTCGCAGTGGGAAAAACTCTTATTAAAGAACATTTCCGGCGAGATCATGTCAGGCATTGGGAGAAAGTTGTGACCTGCAGACAAGCGAAACTGCTTATGAGGGGGCAATTAAGAGATAGAACCAGAAAGCTTCTGGAGATGCACAGAGGGTATCTGAGGGTGGCAATGGGGTTCCTCACGGGTCATACAGCTCGCAGAGCTCATCTGTTCAAGATGAAACTTGCAGAACAAGAAGACTGTAGACTGTGCGGAAGCGATAAGGAGGGCGTTATCCACATTTTACGTGAATGCCCCCTATTAGCACTCCGTCGCTATAAAATCTGGGGCCAGGCTTTCCTGGAACCAGAGGACTTACAACAAGCATCTGTCACCAGCCTTATTAGCCTAGTGAGAAACAGGGCTGTGTGACTGACCGAAACTAAGGTGGTTGTTACAAAAGATCGTATGATTCAGGTGGTTCTGGGTACTTTAAGTGACCAGCCGCGCATATTCTAATTCTAATTCTACAAAGGTTAAGGGATGAAACGGGGGTTGATGGAAGGGGAATTTAATTCTCCATCGAACAGCATCGGTTTCATTCCTTAATGTTAATTAGGCGGGGAGAGACGATTCTTTAAGTAGCGAGCGAGTTATCGGGAGTCACTGTGCCGAAAGACCATTAGGTTTTTCACTGCGCCGTGAATTTTGTCGCAGTTTTTATTTTTTTATTCCAGAGATTAAGGGATGAAACAGGGGTTGCTAGATGAGGAATTTAATTCTCCATCGAACAGCATTAGTTTCATTCCTTAATGTTAATTAGGAGGGGAGAGATGATTTTTTAATTGGCGGGCGAGTTATCCATTAAGTTTCTCATAGCGCCGTAAATTGCGTCNCGATTTTTTGATTAGCGGGCGAGTTATCGGGAGTCACTGCGCCGAGAGAGTATTAGGTTTTTCATTCACTGAGAGAAAAAATTACCTCTGCCGAAATAGTATATTTCGATACGAGTGAGACAGAATTTTCACGAGTGTGAAGTTGGCGGCCCGAGGCGAAGATGAGGACTGCCAATCACACGAGCTGAAAATTCCTGTCTCACATGTGTCGAACAATAGTTTTTGACAGTGCTGTTACGTTCAGCGAGTGGCGAACTGTGCCTTTTTTCGTTTACGAGTAAACGAAAAGGCACTTTTCGACACGAAGTGAATGTAGCAGTAGTGTCAAAAAGATAAATGTTCACCTGTACAAAATTTTCTGGTCTCAAGATTATTATTCCCCACGAGAAAATATTCTGCAGCAAAAAATTTATTCTTTCCACTTGAAAATCTGACAGGGGCATATGAATACATATTCTTTCGAGTAGAATAACAAGATTCAAATATCATGATAATAATCTGTTTGACTGCAAACCAAAAAATTTTCCCTGAAGCAAAAGTTTGAGCTGACAGAAAAAACATTCTTTCAGCAAAAATACGACTGTATAATCTCTACTGCGACTTTCTCTATCATTTCCAATATTACTCATTTGTTTCCCCGCCATTGATAGTTATTGAGTGAGAAATCAAAGTCTAGTTCTGAGATCACAAACGGATAAGTTTGAGAAGATCAAACCTCTGATTCACAGAAAATTTCGAAACCTTTTACGAAGCTTTTTTGTAATCAGCGGAATAGTGTACTTCTTTTCCGCTTGACTTGTGTACGTGAAAAAAAAAACAGATTTTGAGGCGACAAATTATTTATCTATTTAGATCAAACTATACGTTGACTCCACGTATCTTATATTATTAGACGAAGTTATTTCGATATTTTTGAGCGGAATAAATATATTTTCGGCAGAGGTAATTTTTTCTCTCAGTGTTGCACCGTGACTTTCGTCGCAGTTTTTATTTTTTGATTACAGAGATTAAGGGATGAAACGGGGGTTGCCGTACGGGGAATTTAATTCTCCATCGAACAGCGTTGGTTCCATTCCTTAATATTAATTAGGAGGGGAGAGACGATTTTTTAATTGGCGGGCGAGTTATCCATTAAGTTTTTCATAGCGCCGTAAATTGCGTCGCAGTTTTTAATTTTTTATTACAGAGATTAAGGGATGAAACGGGGGTTGCTGTATGGGGAATTTAATTCTCCATCGAACAGCATTGGTTTCATTCTTTAATGTTAATTAGGAGGGGAGAGACGATTTTCTAATTGGCGGGCGAATTATTGGGGTGGCACTCTGCGCCGAGAAACCATTGGGTTTCTCATGGCACGGTGACTTTCGTCGCAGTTTTAATTTTATTATAACAAAGATTAAGGGATGAAACGGGGGTTGATAGATGAGGAATCTAATTCTCCATCGAAAAGTCCTCGTCTCATCCCTTAATATTAATTAGCGGGCGAATGAATCAACGGAAAAACATAAAGTAAACATTGAGGACAAGGAGGACACAAACCCCCCTTCGAACCTACCCCTGTGACAGCGGGACTGCTATAGGGCTTCTAGCAGATGTTTTCCCTGCCCAGGATACCCCCACTCTACGTAATTCCCACTCATATGCTTGTCCCCCACTCCAAAAATTCATGGATATTCTTCTTCTGGCCCTACTGCCAAGTTACCGGCACAGGCAGCTCGCCCAGCCGTTAGAATCGACCGTGGCGCCCCACCTCTGTTGGGGTCTCATTTATTCTGGCTGCGAATCCTCTCAACTTGACCGACCCCGTTGGGATATCGACACTGCCGCCATCTCCCGGCATTCCCCCTACGAGTCTTGTTTTATCATTATATACACTCACATTAATTTCAATCAATTGATAGAAAACAATGTTATAAACAGTGCAAATATAAACTAATAATTCGTCTATCCACGTTTATTGTGTTTTCAGATATCATTTCCCCCTTTTTAGCTCCAGAAAATGACAATCCTATTAGCCACGCAACAGCCACGCAAGTACCGTGGCTCCTGGATCACCAGGGTGGAGAAGTTTTTTCGAAAAAGAGTCGACGAAAGCATTAACTTATATATACCTAGCGATCTGACATGTTCATCAATTTAAGTGGTATCAAAACTATTATATTCTCCTTATTTCAATTTGACAATGGAGTTACGTTATCCATTGAGTAAAAATGTATGATACAGGAGTAAGTGGTGAGTTTCATATGTGATTTCCATAATTATAGCCGTTAATGTCGTAAAGGGTTATTTAGGATTGCAATAACGATTAAACACAGTTTTATTATCGTAAATATAATTAAGTTTTATTCACCAACGTAACGCGACAACGGTCGAGGCACAAGTGGTACATAGTACGAGTATATCTCAGAAGCGCAACGGCGCCGTGGCGACACAGTCAGCCACACTGTCGGTAACAAGGAGACTGGCGGAGGGCGCCACATTCAGCACTCCCTCCCGCCATAGACAGTATCCTTGAGTCCTCTCCAGTCTTCTTCTCTCCTGGTAATATATTCTCGTTCATCACAAAGTTTCTTATTCGGTAACTTTATCTCGCCTCAGTATTCTCGCCAGGTAATTTCGTCAGTTTAATCTCATTAGTTTTTCCATCTCGCCAATTTTATCTCTCCAAGAAGGTCTCGCCAAATTAGTTATTTCCTAGACAAACAGAAAGAAAATAATTTAAATATTTACTTTCATTATTAGGTCCATCAACCGCTTGTGTGTTTCAAACGTCAATGGTTTGGTGAAACATCAGCTAGCTGATCCCGTGAGCCAATCCAAATGATTTTTATATAATTCTTTTTAACACATACCTTTACATAATGTCATTTGTTCTCTACAATGTGTCTCAATTTCATTCCTCCATTTATTTCTGCACTAATAATAGCAGATTTATTATCACACCTTAAGACCATTGGAACAGGGGGATCAACCAGTATCAGTTTCAAAGAGTTGTGCAACGACATCATTTCTCGACTCGCCTCGCTCATTGCAACATACTCAGCTTCACACGTAGAAAGTGCTACTGTAGTTTGTTTGTGAGTTCGCCAAATGATCGTATCACCAAACAGTCTAATCACAAATCCATAAGTTGTGATTGAATCTTTACAATCAGAAAAACTCGTATCAGAATAACCCTGAATGTCATTGGTCTCGCCTGAATATCTCAGACCCAAGCCCGTAGTACCTCTCAGATACCGAAAAATTCTTTTTACCATTTCCCAATCACTTTCTTTAGGATTTACTTGATGTCTGCTTATCACATTGACTGCATATGCAATGTCTGGTCTCGTAGCACCAGCCAAATACAAAAACTACCTACGGCCTCTCTATAAGGAACGTTTGCTTTTGTTCCTGTCCTTTCCAAAGTCCCATTATCATATTCTGTTTCTCTTAATTTTCTCTCATTATTAGCTACTTGAGAAGTATTCATTGATGTACATTGTGGATGTGCTTTATCAAAGCCAAACCTACTTAATATCTTTTGAATATATTTTTTCTGACTTAATTTAATAATCGGATTTTCTCTGTCCCGCCTAATAGTCATGCTCAAGAATTCCTTGGGCTCTTCCAGGACTGTCATTTCAAATTCGCTACATAGATTACTCTTTACTTCAGCCAATTTATCGTTATCATTACTTGCCAACATATCATCTACATAAAGTAGCAGAAGCAAGAACTTGTCTTCATCTCGTCAAGTGAATAAACAAGGTTCTAAATCCGAGTTCTGCAGACCCATACTCAAAACTACTTCAGTGAATTTTACATTCCACCGTTTGGGACTGATACGATGACCATAAAGTGCTAACAAAATGTGTAATTTGCACACATTTTCTTGCCTATCTTTTTCAGTATGTTTAGTTCCTTCTGGAATTTCCATGTAAATTTCCTCATCTATCACACCATTGAAGAAAGCAGTTTTAACATCTAGCTGACACACCTCTAGATTCTATTTGTTTATAATTAATATAACTATTCTCACTAAAGGTAAACGAGCTACTGGAGCATAAGTTGCCCTTAATTCATAAATGTTCTTATCCTTGAAACCTCTGATTACTAGTTTCACCTTGAATCTTATTTTTCGATTTGCCTCATTTTTACACTTAAAAACCCATTTTGAATCAATGACATTTAATCTTTTTCCATTCATCATACTTAGAGGTCTTTTAACAATTTTCCATACTTGATTCTTTTCTAACGAGTTCAATTCTTCATCAACCGCATTTAACCAAGAATCTTTATTTTTACTATTTATAGCTTCTCGATAATTTGAGGGATCTTCATTTATGCTTGATAAAAGTGCATGATACGCTTCATCTTCCTTTTGTGCTAAATCTATCTCGCCTATATTACTGATAAGACTAGTGAAGAAAACATTTCCTTTCACGTTCTCATCAATTTCCAACTCTGAAAAGCTATTATCATTTATTGTTTTATCTTTTATATCAACTGTCTTCACTTTCTTGGTAATGTTTTGTTCTGAAACTTCTTTCCTTGGTCTACCTCTTTTGCGTTTTATCTCTCCCTCCGGTTTTGAAGAATCCTCGGCCTCACCTCGATTCTTTTCGAACTCAACAAACCATTCATCTTTATTCTCCATTTCTCCATAGTCTGGGAAATCTTTGATACCGTTTCCCTTGTATTTATCCCCATACACTAATTTTTCATTGAATTTAACATGTCTACTTTCATAATATTTGCCTAGCTCTGGCTTTAAGAGTTCATACCCTGTTGGAGTATATCCAACCAAGACCATACCTATACCTCGAGGTCCAAACTTTGGGCCAGCATTTCTAGCAATTTTTACATAACTTAAACTACCGAATCTTTTGATTTGATTAATATCAAAGCTGTGATCAGGAGCGAATCTTTCTAAAGGAGTTATCATATTGTTTGATTTATGTGGAGTCCTATTGTAAGCGTAAACTGCAGCAGTTAAGCCCAGATCCCACATGCCCTTTGGCAGTCTCGAGTCAAACATATAACATCTCACCTTTTTCTGGATAGTTTGATTAAATCTCTCAGCGACACCATTGTGTTCAGGTGTATCAGGGGAAGCTAACTGTAATTCCGCCCCTAGACCCTTAAGAACTTCAACTGTATGCCCGCCTGTATACTGTTCCCTGATCTGATCTAAGATAACACACTTTCGCGTCATAACCCAGTAAATTACGCGCACTTCTGATGAACATCTCAAGACAACGTCCTGATTCACTTTTCGCCTTCATTGGATAAGCCATAGCGAATCTTGAGAAGTCATCGATGAACACAGAAATAAATCTGTATCCCTTAGGATGAGAAATTGGAGTAATGGCCCCATCACATTGGGAATGACCATTTATGAAATTTAGACGTTAAGCACATCTCACAATCTCTAATGAATTCATCATCAAATTTTACTGCATTTAATTCTTTATTATCTGGGAATTTCTTTTGTAATGCCTTGAGGTAACTCGTTGAGGCATGTCCAAATCTACAATGCCACAACATGACATTCTGATTCTTCAAATAGCTATCTTTATCAATTGAAAGTTTTGGAAAAACTTCTACTGAATCATCCCATGGTAATTCATCAACATCTTGCAATTTCCTGTCCCAAATGGTGTAATCAAAATTTGATTGTTCATAGGGAATCTTTTCTTTAGTAATTATTTTTTCAAGTTTTCACTCGCTTTTTCATTTTGCTTTTCTTCCTTTGCCTTTTCTTCAATTTCATTTTCTTCCTCATTACTCTTATCAATTTCGTCTGTTTTCTCACTTGTTTCATTCTGTAAATTTGCTGTGACACTTCTGGTAAGATATCTTTTCACCTCATTCTCACCCCCAGTGATATCAGCAACATTTGCTACTATTCGCCTGTTTATTTGCTTGAAAGAATTCTCACTGATAGAGTTTGACTTTACTATTTCTAAATCGATTATCCAGTAAGGTTTTCTATAAATTCCCGAGATGAAAAGTTCATTCGACAATGGATCAACTATATCAATTTTCTTGTCATCTAAGGAGATTGCTAATGCCATTTCGGCGAATTTCCTTAATGATAGTAGATTTGCTTTAAGAGCTTCTGCAAAAATAACTTTGTCAATTTCTAGTAATTTACCACTCGCCAGTTCAATTTCTATTTTTCCTGCTCCCTCCGTTTCTAAGTCCGCTGACTCATTTTTATTCGCACACCTAATTACTCAACAATCTAATTCATTGAATATTTTAAATATAATCCTAGAATTTGTTAACTGCTCGGTCGCGCCTGAATCTGCCAGAAAGTCTGTCAGAAACTTATTTCCATTTGTTTGTTGACTATCTGCATAAAATATCTACAAAGCTAAGGGGAGTGGTAATTATTTAATTAATTAATTACTATCGAAAATGTTTGCAAAATCACCTACATGTCTCATCAGTATTTTAACCCTAAATGTTAGTTCACAAATATTTTCAGAAAAAAAGGAGATTAATTCACGAAAAAAAAATTCAATTTTTTTTGTTAATAAGAGATATCTAGACGTTTCTATGAACTGCGAAATAATAGAATTGCACTATTCGACTGTTACTTTATACAGTCGACACGGTATTCAACTGATAATTTTTGATAATTCCACTGCTAATTTTTCATGTTGATATATATATGGCCGATTCTCCCCAATATCGTCCTGGTTTTCAGGGTCAAATTTGGGATTGGGCTAAATTTTTAGCCTCGTAACTCTGTTAATAGTGGAGAATCTTCAGATGGAAGTTTTTTTCTATTTCCTTTTCAAGTAAATCTGACGGCTACAGTTACAATTTTACAAAAAATATTACATAAGATTACTTAAGATCACTTTTTTCCTCGAAATTATGCGTAAATTTATTGTTCCACCACATCGAATTGAAAATAAATTTCTTCCTTCGAAAGAACATGTTTTTTCACGCATTTACCTAAAATTTTAAATTTTACTCGTGCTTCGCACTCGTGATTGGTTAATCTTAAAAACTTGACTCCTTCGTTTGTTTGTAACGAACCTATTGGGAAATACCTAACAATTTTAAAGCTCTTGTGGTACTATATACGATAATTTGGGTGTTACGACAACCTGTCAATATCCATTTTTCAGCTACTGCCACTGAGGCTACCCAGTCGTCGTGGAGGAGGCAGTTCTGGGGCTCTGGGGGTGGGTGTTTCTCTAGGTATTCGATGAGGATAACGTCCTCGGTGGAGAGACCACGGTCGCTTATATGAGTTGAGAGGGGCGAGCGAAGAAACTCGGAGGAAACGAGAAAGTCGAAGGAGATTGAAGCGGAGAGATTGACGGTTTCTCGAAGGAGAGTGTTCAAGAGCGTGTTTAAGTCCTCTGGAGTGATGGGAGCAGGAACTGAGAGAGGATAGTCTGGAACTGCATAGCTGGAATGTTAATAATAATGTGTAGTTTTAACGGTTTACAAGAATTTTTTCGATCAGCATCTATTTAATTTTCATAGGAAATTCGATAAATACAAAAGTTATTGTGAAAATTTGGATTCTGTATAAGTTCAGGGGTGATGAGAGTAAAATGGGCCGGTTTTAATCATCAATAACTCAACATCTACTACGTAAAATTCAATTTTGTTTTCTTCCATTCTGCAGCTATTGTTTGGGCTGTAAAATAAGATCTGATTTATTCTGATCGGAAAATTTCGTCAGGACATATTGATGATTTAAGAAAATCCATTTTTCCTCACCATCTCCTACGATACTTTTCTTCAAAGATTATTTTTAAGTTTCAAGCATTGAAAAGACTATTCACTCCATAAAACAGAAAAAATCTACTGATAATTTGAAGTTTTGCAATCAAATCTAGAAAAGACTAGAATGAAGCGTTGATAATAAGTGGAAGTGAATTAAATTCCGGAACGAGTCCCGAGGATTCTCAAAAATAGGCGAGTTTATAACCTCGCAATTAAATAAAACGTCAAATTCTTTACTTACCATTCCTGCTTAGTGATGAATCTGATCTGCAACTGTGGCACATCGCTACTAGTACTGGTTCCAGCCATTCTGTGTCGAAATCTTCGAATAATTATCAACAAATAACTAATGCACTCTCAACATTCCTGCCAATTCCTGCCTAGAGTAAGAAACCATGGGAACACGCGGTTCTTTCTTTGGTCCTGTATATATACTTAGAGAGATTGCCAGCAGAGGACTCTGACAATAGAAACGTCAAGTTGTTTTCCATATATTATCTGCAAGGGGTAATACGGGAAAAATTCCAAATTTATCGACGCTTTAGTTAAGGTGTTTCATCTGAAAAGTAAAAATCTCTCTATGTTATGGAAAATCGACCTCTGGTGATAAAAATTTGGTACTCGAAATTAAGACACCGAAATTAAGACATAAGGAAAAATTGTCAAACGGAACATTGTCAAATGAGAATGCGAAGGGGGCGCCATCCGGTAGTGACGCCACGGAGTATGATTTTTGGGGTAAAGAAGAGTTTTCAAGTTCGAATTGTATAGATAAATTCAAAATAATATTTAGTTTAAGATTATCAATTAGGGAGATATCTCAAGCACATTGAATTATACGGTATCATAGGGGCAAAATGGATATTTTCTGACCTAATTCCATTTTTTAGGGGTAAAATGGGTCTTTTCTGTACTCCTACGATTACATGGGGGCAAAATGGGTTTTTTGTGTACTCCTACGATTTAATGGGGGTAAAATGGGTATTTACTGACCACATACGATTTCATGGGGGCAAAATGGGTATTTACTGACCTCATACGATTTCATGGGGAAAAATGGGTTTTTCGTGAACTCATACGATTTCTTAGGGGTTAAATAGGTATTCTGCGAACTTTTACGATTTCATGGGGGCTAAATGGGTATTTTCTGACCCCATAAGATTTCATTGGGGCAAAATGGGTATTCTGTGAACTTTTACGATTTCATTGGGGTAAAATGGGTATTTTCTGACCTCGTACGATTTCATAGGGGCAAAATTTGTTTTTCGTGAACTCATACGATTTCATGGGGGTAAAATGGATTGCGTATAGAATTTATATAGGATTTTCGCATATGATATTCGGATATTTTGATACGGATATTTTGAATACAAATTATTTCTATACGATTTCTATAGGTTTGATCCTATGCGACACACTGCCTCATGTATATAAATAGTTCCTATGGAGATGCACCATTTCTCTACGTTTTTCTCTGGAGTGTTTACATATCTTTCGGACGAAAACAAAAAATTACGTCAGGATTTATATATAGAAATACATCGTATAGAAAATATTCCTACACAAATATCCGATCATTATGTACGTAAATTCTATAGGGTTTTATACGCAATCCGTAAAGAAAATTTTCATATAATTAATAAGTTAATAAGATGAAGGTATTTATAAATAGATAATTACAGCTGATAAAGAACTTCTGTATGAAGTGTGGAGACTCCTAATTAGACAACATCTAATCGAAGGAAACCATGAGGGAGAAGTAGTCTACCTGGCAATAATAGACGATAAAGTACATGTACCTCCAGACGAAGGAACTGGATATATCCATATCCGTTACATATATGTAACGGGCGAGACATCAGGCATATGTGTAAATAGGCGAGCATACTATACACATTAGAAATGCGCAATATTAAGACGTCAAATTACTTGAGAAATATTTAAATCAATATTTCGCAAGCATAAAAGACTCGAGTGGGTTTGGAGGAGGTCTTATGTTTAGATTTTCTGAAGAGCACATTCATTCTGAATTCGATTTGTTTATGTTTAGCAAGTCGAGTTTGGGATTTCGGACCTGAATAAAAAAATGTAACCAGATACAATAATCCTAAATTTTCGGTTTCTTTAAATTAGATAAGAGAGATTTCTTAGAGGATCAATGAAGATGTCTAACTGTGTTAGAATCTGCATTGTTGGCTGAACAAAAGCCAATGTATCTACTAGGTTACGGTTCGAAGAGTCAAGTGTCAAGAACAGCTGTGATCGAGAATGGGTCAAGTGAGATGAGTGAAGATTTGGTAAATACAGAGGCGAGGGCCACAGGCGAATCCCAGTCAAGCGAATTGACTGGAGGCGAGACGAAGAGTGGCGAGTTGAATAGCGGCGAGTTAAANCTTTACTTGGACCATATGTCTTACCTCTCATTGGTCTTTACTTGGACCATATGTCTCACCTCTCATTGGTCTTTTCGTTCCTCTATTGTTACTTCTATATTGATCTTGATAATTATTTCGATAATTATTTTTTGAATTAGAATTGTACCTTGGAGTCTGTTTAGAGTATCCTGAGCCACTTGGTGTATTGTCATTGTGGGGTACATTTAGGCAATCTCTCGCCTTGTGATTCCCAAACTGGTTGCATCTGTAGCACAAGTATCCTTTCCCTTTATTGGGATAGTCTGGTCCCTTGTGTCCATATGCCTGACAAGCAAAACACCTTGGCCCCTTGTGCTGTGCAAAATTAGCAGTTTTAATATCAGAATCTGAGAGCTCACTTTTCATAGTAGCTTCTTCTTCTAATANGTATCTCATATTATAGAGATCTTGTCTCACCGAGTGTGAAGTTATATTAAACTCAGCCATTTTCAATTCTTTCAGTTTCTTCAATATTTCTTTTGGATCTTGTAATTTGACAACTTTAGGGTGATAACTTCTGTCCAAATGATTGATCAGAATTTCTCTAACTTTGTGCTTCTATTCTGCAAGAGTTTCCTCGTCCACAGTAACCAGAATGCTATCATTAATGATGTGTAAAAGTTTATTAGTTTTAATTTCTGACGAGAAATAATCATAGAAGTGTTCATACTTCATTTTACTGTCCATTTTGTAATATCTTTTGAAACTCATTCCCTTGTTAAGCAATTCAATTTGTAACTTATTGGTTACCTCGCCAGCTAATTGACTCAAAGGATTTAGATTGTTTACTTGACTTGACTTTGTCTGATTAATTTCATTGATCTGTTTATTGACTATTGAACTAATTTGACGTTCTTGATTTGTATGCTCATCTGAGATCACTCCTCCAATTTTGTCATTGTGCTTTTTGTCCAATGCACTCAACAGCTCCTGTACTTCCCTTTTGTCTTGTGCTCTCGCCTCAGCATACAGTCTCACTTGGTTTCTATTCTCTGTTAACCTTCATACAGTGCTTTTGTTGAAGTTATATTTGAGCTACATAGCTTTTCACCATGCTCTTCAACTCAGCCAACTGTGTCTACAGAGACTGTTTTGATAGTCTTGTTGCCGTTAGGCTCAACTAATTCATCGTCTAGATTAGAATTTACCAATTTCAATTTAATATTTACTTTATTATCTGCTGTAATCTTGGATTTCAGTTTGATTTGGTGAGTTTTGTCAACATCAATATTACCTGTGGTTATTTCGCCTCCACTTTTCTCGCCGCCATTTAACTCGCCGCTATTCAACTCGCCACTCTTCGTCTCGCCTCCAGTCAATTCGCTTGACTGGGATTCGCCTGTGGCCCTCGCCTCTGTATTTACCAAATCTTCACTCATCTCACTTGACCCATTCTCGATCACAGCTGTTCTTGACACTTGACTCTTCGAACCGTAACCTAGTAGATACATTGGCTTTTGTTCAGCCAACAATGCAGATTCTAACACAGTTAGACATCTTCATTGATCCTCTAAGAAATCTCTCTTATCTAATTTAAAGAAACCGAAAATTTAGGATTATTGTATCTGGTTACATTTTTTTATTCAGGTCCGAAATCCCAAACTCGACTTGCTAAACATAAACAAATCGAATTCAGAATGAATGTGCTCTTCAGAAAATCTAAACATAAGACCTCCTCCAAACCCACTCGAGTCTTTTATGCTTGCGAAATATTGATTTAAATATTTCTCAAGTAATTTGACGTCTTAATATTGCGCATTTCTAATGTGTATAGTATGCTCGCCTATTTACACATATGCCTGATGTCTCGCCCGTTACATATATGTAACGGATATGGATATATCCAGTTCCTTCGTCTGGAGGTACATGTACTTTATCGTCTATTATTGCCAGGTAGACTACTTCTCCCTCATGGTTTCCTTCGATTAGATGTTGTCTAATTAGGAGTCTCCACACTTCATACAGAAGTTCTTTATCAGCTGTAATTATCTATTTATAAATACCTTCATCTTATTAACTTATTAATTATATGAAAATTTTCTTTACGGATTGCGTATAAAACCCTATAGAATTTACGTACATAATGATCGGATATTTGTGTAGGAATATTTTCTATACGATGTATTTCTATATATAAATCCTGACGTAATTTTTTGTTTTCGTCCGAAAGATATGTAAACACTCCAGAGAAAAACGTAGAGAAATGGTGCATCTCCATAGGAACTATTTATATACATGAGGCAGTGTGTCGCATAGGATCAAACCTATAGAAATCGTATAGAAATAATTTGTATTCAAAATATCCGTATCAAAATATCCGAATATCATATGCGAAAATCCTATATAAATTCTATACGCAATCCATTTTACCCCCATGAAATCGTATGAGTTCACGAAAAACAAATTTTGCCCCTATGAAATCGTACGAGGTCAGAAAATACCCATTTTACCCCAATGAAATCGTAAAAGTTCACAGAATACCCATTTTGCCCCAATGAAATCTTATGGGGTCAGAAAATACCCATTTAGCCCCCATGAAATCGTAAAAGTTCGCAGAATACCTATTTAACCCCTAAGAAATCGTATGAGTTCACGAAAAACCCATTTTTCCCCATGAAATCGTATGAGGTCAGTAAATACCCATTTTGCCCCCATGAAATCGTATGTGGTCAGTAAATACCCATTTTACCCCCATTAAATCGTAGGAGTACACAAAAAACCCATTTTGCCCCCATGTAATCGTAGGAGTACAGAAAAGACCCATTTTACCCCTAAAAAATGGAATTAGGTCAGAAAATATCCATTTTGCCCCTATGATACCGTATAATTCAATGTGCTTGAGATATCTCCCTAATTGATAATCTTAAACTAAATATTATTTTGAATTTATCTATACAATTCGAACTTGAAAACTCTTCTTTACCCCAAAAATCATACTCCGTGGCGTCACTACCGGATGGCGCCCCCTTCGCATTCTCATTTGACAATGTTCCGTTTGACAATTTTTCCTTATGTCTTAATTTCGGTGTCTTAATTTCGAGTACCAAATTTTTATCACCAGAGGTCGATTTTCCATAACATAGAGAGATTTTTACTTTTCAGATGAAACACCTTAACTAAAGCGTCGATAAATTTGGAATTTTTCCCGTATTACCCCTTGCAGATAATATATGGAAAACAACTTGACGTTTCTATTGTCAGAGTCCTCTGCTGGCAATCTCTCTAAGTATATATACAGGACCAAAGAAAGAACCGCGTGTTCCCATGGTTTCTTACTCTAGGCAGGAATTGGCAGGAATGTTGAGAGTGCATTAGTTATTTGTTGATAATTATTCGAAGATTTCGACACAGAATGGCTGGAACCAGTACTAGTAGCGATGTGCCACAGTTGCAGATCAGATTCATCACTAAGCAGGAATGGTAAGTAAAGAATTTGACGTTTTATTTAATTGCGAGGTTATAAACTCGCCTATTTTTGAGAATCCTCGGGACTCGTTCCGGAATTTAATTCACTTCCACTTATTATCAACGCTTCATTCTAGTCTTTTCTAGATTTGATTGCAAAACTTCAAATTATCAGTAGATTTTTTCTGTTTTATGGAGTGAATAGTCTTTTCAATGCTTGAAACTTAAAAATAATCTTTGAAGAAAAGTATCGTAGGAGATGGTGAGGAAAAATGGATTTTCTTAAATCATCAATATGTCCTGACGAAATTTTCCGATCAGAATAAATCAGATCTTATTTTACAGCCCAAACAATAGCTGCAGAATGGAAGAAAACAAAATTGAATTTTACGTAGTAGATGTTGAGTTATTGATGATTAAAACCGGCCCATTTTACTCTCATCACCCCTGAACTTATACAGAATCCAAATTTTCACAATAACTTTTGTATTTATCGAATTTCCTATGAAAATTAAATAGATGCTGATCGAAAAAATTCTTGTAAACCGTTAAAACTACACATTATTATTAACATTCCAGCTATGCAGTTCCAGACTATCCTCTCTCAGTTCCTGCTCCCATCACTCCAGAGGACTTAAACACGCTCTTGAACACTCTCCTTCGAGAAACCGTCAATCTCTCCGCTTCAATCTCCTTCGACTTTCTCGTTTCCTCCGAGTTTCTTCGCTCGCCCCTCTCAACTCATATAAGCGACCGTGGTCTCTCCACCGAGGACGTTATCCTCATCGAATACCTAGAGAAACACCCACCCCCAGAGCCCCAGAACTGCCTCCTCCACGACGACTGGGTAGCCTCAGTGGCAGTAGCTGAAAAATGGATATTGACAGGTTGTCGTAACACCCAAATTATCGTATATAGTACCACAAGAGCTTTAAAATTGTTAGGTATTTCCCAATAGGTTCGTTACAAACAAACGAAGGAGTCAAGTTTTTAAGATTAACCAATCACGAGTGCGAAGCACGAGTAAAATTTAAAATTTTAGGTAAATGCGTGAAAAAACATGTTCTTTCGAAGGAAGAAATTTATTTTCAATTCGATGTGGTGGAACAATAAATTTACGCATAATTTCGAGGAAAAAAGTGATCTTAAGTAATCTTATGTAATATTTTTTGTAAAATTGTAACTGTAGCCGTCAGATTTACTTGAAAAGGAAATAGAAAAAAACTTCCATCTGAAGATTCTCCACTATTAACAGAGTTACGAGGCTAAAAATTTAGCCCAATCCCAAATTTGACCCTGAAAACCAGGACGATATTGGGGAGAATCGGCCATATATATATCAACATGAAAAATTAGCAGTGGAATTATCAAAAATTATCAGTTGAATACCGTGTCGACTGTATAAAGTAACAGTCGAATAGTGCAATTCTATTATTTCGCAGTTCATAGAAACGTCTAGATATCTCTTATTAACAAAAAAAATTGAATTTTTTTTTCGTGAATTAATCTCCTTTTTTTCTGAAAATATTTGTGAACTAACATTTAGGGTTAAAATACTGATGAGACATGTAGGTGATTTTGCAAACATTTTCGATAGTAATTAATTAATTAAATAATTACCACTCCCCTTAGCTTTGTAGATATTCTTGGAGAAATGGAGGGAAAGTCATCAAAAAAAGGCCTAAATTAAACCACACTTAACTTCAGACGTGTCATTTTTTAAGACGCGCAAAGTATCGCATTGAGACCTGTACAGAAATTGTAATTCTCCTAGTCTAATTACACGATATACTTACCCAAAAAAAACAAAAGGTCTTTTGTAAAAAAAAAAACACTCGACAAGAACGGATGCGTCAGTTGGTCTGTTTACAAAATTGATGAAATCGGGCAAAAGCTGTAGTGCCAAGTACAGATTAATAAAGCCTAAATATTATGACACAACTCATATAAAACTAAAGAAATAATGTAAATCATGAAAATGATATTCAAAATTTGAGATGATAAAAATTCCAAGTCAACCTACTTGGCGAGATTTTATGTAGCTTTAATCGCGAGCCAAGTAGGTTGACTTGAAATTTTTATCATCTCAAATTTTGAATATCATTTTCATGATTTTCATTATTTCTTCAGTTTTATATGAGTTGTGTCATAATATTTAGGCTTTATTAATCTGTACTTGGCACTACAGCTTTTGCCCGATTTCATCAATTTTGTAAACAGACCAACTGACGCATCCGTTCTTGTCGAGTGTTTTTTTTTTTANTTTTGTTTTTTTGGGAGATTTCACATATTTTTGTAAAAACAAGACAGTGTCTTCTACATTTTTTATGTTTGTAAACGGAATAACACCCGTTCTTGACGATTTTGTTTTACTATTTTTTTTTGCTTTTTTAGAAAATTTCGTACATTTTTGTGAATACACCTTTCGATCTCACAAATCACTGTAAAGCGAATAAGGATTCAACTTTTTTTTGCAGAATTTTGTTATGCAAAAAACTTGTTTCCAATTTTTGTGGAGATTTTACCCACTTTACAATTTTTCGTAAGCTGGAGAATAATTTTAGGCCATAAAACGACAATCGTTTTTCTCCCTCTAAACGATTTTTTTACTCATTGCACCCATCTCATCAATGTATATTTTCAATCTTACAACTTGTGTTAAATTCAAGAACTCAGTCTCGATTATGGCCTTTTGTTGTTAGAAATTGTTATTTTCTTTTTTTTAATTTCACATGAAATATCATAGCAGAGGGATTTTTAGTTGAGAGGTTAGATTTTTGTTTTAGTACAACTTATCCCACGAACGTGAATTAATGTTAATCAAAATCATGGTCTCGATGAATATATTTACAATTTTTCACCACTATCACCCATCACTTTCCTGGGAGAATGGTTATTTGGTACACATTTTTGTTAATTGAACGAGAATCATTCCGTGTAATTGACAGAAGACGCCGGTGTTTATGTCGAGTGGCATCGAAACGCGGGTCCGATTCACCAATCCCTTTTGAATGTCGGACTGACGTCATCCAACATATCCAACTCCCAACACCTCACGAGATCGCGAGGTAGAAATTAATGGTATCAACGTTCCCACTAAAATTTGCCTTGAACGTCTTACGATGAGAAAAATGAAGAAAAGACGCACATCAAAATTCTTTAGATCATCATATTTCATTCATTTTAGCATGAAAAAGTGTCATAAAAATTGCAATGGATGGCTCATAGTAACGTTATATGGAAAAAGTATAATTCAAATTGTGCTGCGAATATGCAAATATAACAGGCAGTTGCGCACCCGTTCTTGGGGACGGGACGCAACTGCGTCCCTTGATTGAATTTGCTAAATTGAAATGTTCCAACCCTATCATGCATTGTGCAATCTGGATTTCACATTGTATACTTCAAACTTATAAATGTCGAATTGGTGGCGTACAACAACAAACAAACCGGTATAATTTGAGCGTGTGGAATTCAAGAAAAACAGACTCCACTTGTTCGAATTCAAATTTCCGGGATTTCACGGAATTTTTGCATTCGAGTGGAAGCATTGAAATCGTTCTATTTTTAGATTCTCTAATTTTCCTCGGAAATGATGTAGAATGGTCTGAAACGTAAAAATATAAAGTTTGACACCTGGTGGTCAATTTTTAGAAAATTGAAGAATTAAAGGACTGAAATGATTCCAAAAAATTTGAAATTTTATCTGATTATAGGTATTAATGAGAACTAACTCTGTGCTCGATTTCAGCCCAATCGATGCAGCCGTTTTTGAGAATTCACCATTTGTTTCTAAATCATTATTCGCAAATATCTCAAAAACTACTCAACAGATTTCAATTTTTTTTCAAAATATTTGTCTCGATGTCTGTTATTTCCATACATCAAAATATGCATACCCGTTCATGCAATCCCTGTTAGCACTCTAACTTTTGGAAAAATCGACATGTAAACTGAAAATTTGGTATGAAATTTCCTTTTCGCGCCAGAATGTTTCATATTGAAAATGAGCTAAATCGGATGGTTAGTTTAGGAGATATTCAATTGGGTCTCTAAATCTATTTTCTTGAATATCTCCTAAAGTAATACTCGCAATATCGAAACGGTTAGGAAAAAGGGAAAAAAGTTCGAATAAAAAAGTGAACAAAAAATGGAATTTAAAAAAAGTCAGTGAACATCATGAAAAAAGAACTACAAATTGGAATAAAGAGTAATTATACAAATCAGCATTTGAAAGTAATTTCGGAAAGTAATTTAGGGGTCTCGGAAAGAACGACTTTATCTGGCCAGGTTTTCCATAAACTTAGGTTTTCCCCAAATCTTTAGAAAATGGGATACAGAAGGTTGGAAAGAGTTTGCTGGCGGGGGGAGTGAAAAAGGTACAAAATGCAAAAATGGAAAGAAATATCCGAGAGTGAAAAAAAATTTCTTATGCTGGCGCCATTCGGAAGCATACCATCAATTTATTAATAGCGAACAAAGGATTAAAACATCACTCCGTGACATGCTCACTATCATATGCCCGCTGCCCCCTGTTTCTTTTTAATTGCACATACTTAAACTACATGTCGAGTTGCGTGCAATAAATTAGACATTTGCAAGTTTGAATTGTACCATGTGAAAGTGAGATTATACAACGTGTAATTGGGATGGTACATCACACATTAGTAAAATTCAGTAGGTAAATCGTGTAATTAGAATGTGGAGATTACCCTTTCGGGGAACAAGGTCTTAATGTGAAACATGAGATGTGTCAATAATTAATAGACCATTTTGTCAAGAACATTGTGGGTCGGCATTAAAGTATGCCTCGAGAACCGTTCCTTGTAGAAAATTTAATTTACGCCCTAAACAGACTTGGGAAATTTACTTTCTCAACTCACTATTTCTCAAAAAAAATATTCACTGACAAATCTGTGCGAAATTTTATTATTCACCTCATTCACTTCTAATTGGTTCATAACGAATTATCTCGTTTTTTCCCCGCTCCCAGGTTGCTACGACAATACTCTGCACATTTGGACAGCCAAAGGAAACCACAAGCTAACAATTCCCGGTCATACAGCAGCGGTAAAATCGGTGGCCTGGATTTCCCTGACAGATGAGCTCGGGATGTTCGTAAGTGCTTCACAGGACCAAACGGCAATAATTTGGCAATGGAATATTCACACCAACTCTGTGGAATGTGTTCACGTCTGCAGGGGCCACGAACAAGGCCTTGAATCAGTTGGTGTGAGCACAGATGCTGAACACATGGCAACTGGAGCTTGGGATAACATGCTGAAGGTCTGGGGAACGTCTGAGAATGAATCCGATGAACCTGAAAAGAAAAAGGCAAAGGTTGATAAAGGGAAGACGAGGGTCCCTAAGAGGACAATGAAGGGACACAAAGAGGCGATATCTGGAACGGTTTGGGTGGATAGGAACGAGCTTATTAGCTCTTCTTGGGATCATACTATTAAAGTTTGGGATGCAGAACTAGGAGGAATGAAACATGAAATTGTGGGCAATAAGAGTTTCTTTGATGTTGATTTTTCGAGAATTGGGAGAGTTCTTGTCACAGCCTCTGCTGACAGACATGTTAGGATTTATGATCCTCGTTCTAATGGTGAGTAATTCATTCTTTTGTGTTGAGGGGAGACTACTATGAGTTTCTAAAGTGGCGGGCGATTGGAGTGAGATTTTTCATGCATTCAAGATCGACTATATATATGTCTAAAAACGGATAATTAGTGCAGAAAAATTAATTGCTTATTGCTCGTTTCTCCGCACACGCGATATGAAATTGAAGTTACCTTGGTCAATTTTTCAATTTGTCAAATCGTGAAGGGATGCAGCTTTTAGACCGTTTACTGATGAATAATTTTCATTGTGAACTTTTTCCTCTTCTCCGATTATTGATGGCAATATTTGAACGAAAAGACGGCGAGTACTGCTTAAACGTTGCTATATAAGATCCCCGAATATCCGATATAACACTTCTAGGTCCATTGAATTTTATTATTGGACTTTATGTTTGTGGATCTCTGAACACGAATATGTTAACCGTTTTTGCGTCCAAGATAACCTGGATTTTATATCACAGTAGATGGCAATTGGGGCTATTTTTACTCGTTTCCATCAAATTATTTCGTTAACCGTTGAAGTTAGAGAAAAATGTTATAAGACAACAATTATGTATTTTTTAATAAGAAAACATTTTTTATTTCATCTATTTGCGTTTATTTCCAACTATTGCTATAACTATGAGATAACTATGAGAGGAATAGAAATAATAAGACAAAATATATGTATTTTTAGACGAGGAACATTTTTTGTTGGAAATTTTGTTGCCTAACTCGAGCCGTTTCCACGAAATCGCGTTATAAACAATTGTTACAAATTGTTATAAATAAACAAAACTAACCACATGTCGCCAAAACGATTAACATATTCGTGTTCAGGGACCCCAAAAACATAAAGTCCAATGATAAAATTCATTGGACCTAAAAGTGTATACGGGACTAACATGGATGAATTTTTCATTAATGGTGCAATTTTTTAGAAAAAAAAAAATTTGTTGTGTTGGAGTCAAATTTTAAAAAACTAACGCGTAATTATTATTGCACACATTTTTTCAAAAATTTTGAAAATAAACCTCTACACCTCAAGAATTGAAAGCCCTGGACTATTTTCAATATTTGAAGCGTTTGCGGAGCAAACGAACAGTAAACAATTAATTTGTTTGCACTAATTATTCGTTTCTAGACATGTATAATCGATCTTCAATATAGGAGAAATCTCATTCCAATAGCCCGCTACTTTTAAAACTCAGAGTAGTCGTCCGTTAAGAATTGGCATTCAAAAGGAATTACCTAAAAAAACAAAAACAAATGTTTTTGCTTACAAAAATATTTCAGCGCTAAGAAAATGTTTGGTTTGGTTCTTACTGGGAAGTAGAAATTTTTGAAAAATACAAAGAAATGAAACAGAAAGCCAAATCAGCAATGTCGAATGACCGAACATACTGCACAATCAGATTTCTATGAGAAAAATAGTTTGAAATCGAATAAGGATTTTTAAAAAATTCTTCATAAAATAAAAAACTTAGTTACTAGGAGAACCAATATCCTTGGCGCGGATCAAAAGATGGTGGATTAGATTGATACTAGACAGTGAGTTGAAAAACTCCGCGCCAAAAACGTTAGTTCTCTTTCTAGTAATTTTTTATTTCATGAAGAATTTTTTTAAAATCCTTATTCGATTTGAAACTATTTTTCTCATAGAAATGTGACTGTGCACTACGTTCGTTTATTCGACATTGCTAACTTGGCTTTCTTTTTCATTTCTTGGTATTTTTCAAAAATTTCTACTTCCCAGTAAGAACCAAACCAAACTTTTTCTTGGCGCTGTTTTTTTACAAAAACCTTTTTTTTTGTTTTTTTAGGGAGATTTCATTATTTTTTTTCAAAATAAGCAAGGAATCGTTTTTATATCATATAAATTTTTTTATTTTCAATTCAATTCGGCTCATTTATTTTTCACACGATAGATCATCTTTCCAATTAACAATCGAAGCAGTTGTACTTCACAGTCATCATTTCCACCGACTTTAAATTATTTATTTCAGATTTTCCGATTTAATTTGCTTCTTCCAGAAGTTATTTATGCACGGAACTCAATTGAAAAATATTTGTGGAATTTATCGTTCATGCACCAAATTCAATTTGTAAATTCCCGGGTTCCCTCCTTGGTATGTGTGACTGTATTGCAGTGCTACCAACTCCGTAACAAAAAATTGATAGGAGATAACAAAGAGGATAGACCTGAGTAGAGGCCCGGATCGGAGGGTTTGACTGACTCCAAAAATGTTAGTTGGTACCCCACGGGAAAGGCGGCGTCCTGGTCGAATTGTCGGTAAATGTGAGTCGGGTGCGTGAGTAACTCGGCAGTAGCAGTCCCGCTCAGTGATGCCAGATGAGGGGAAAAATCGCACGCGTGGGAATTTCGTGCGCAGCTCCCTCGCGCACTCCTCGGGTCCCCGCCACTACCGCACAGGCTCAACGCCCGTAAATAATACCCGATAAATTAAATTCCGCGATGGAACTCTCAATTAATTAATTAAAAGGAATGAAATTGATGGTATTATTATTTTTTTCAACATTTTAGTTATTAATAATATTTAATAACAATGGAGAGCTCAGTTTACTGTTAAAAATTCTTTAAAAATTGAGCAAAAGTTTGATAAAAATATTGAAAGTGAATTTGAAATCGGTTTGGGATCAATTCGTCTATGAAATTGCTTATCCTATTGCGAAATTGCATTTTCCTATTCATTTTCAAAATTCTACTTTATTTTTTATTAGATTTTTTATTAGATTTCAGGGACTTTAAGATTT